ACAATATTTAAATTATAGAATAAAATAAATAATATTTAAATAAGAAAATATTTGAAAATAAGAGACATATTCCATAACGATTCATAATCGTATAAGTAACAGAAGCTTTAAATAATTGCTCGAAAACTGATTATATTTCCATTATTATTCCGTACTGTTAACAAGCTTATAACATGTGTTGATTAAAAGCTTCTCGATCGGCGATAGATCGATCACGGATCTCGATGACGAGAACGTCGACGGGACGGCGCGATGAGAACGAGGATCCGATACAATAAATAACGCGCGGATCCGGCGCCGAATTAATCGATCGTAATCGATCGATTTGCCCTCCGTCCACCAATCTGCCCCGTGTGGGTTTTCAATTTGCACGGACCGTGGGGGCCCCGTACACAGATCGCGCACATTAATCCAGCGATTACTGTATTCGAGCCTTCGCCGCTCGCGGGCGGAGCTTGTCGTTATCTCATCTAAAAAATCTTTCGCGTGATATATCGATATCATTTCTTTTACTTTTTTAGACTTTTAACGATACTTTCGATTATAAATTTTATTTTATTTTATTTTTTTTTTTGTAGCAATAGAGTAAACTGCCATTTTTAGATCGCAATATTGTATAAATATGTAATTTCTTAAATAAAATTCATATGTTTACACAAAATTTTATTAAATAATTTACATATGTATAGACGTATTTATAAATGTTATTTTAATCTTTAAATTATGTGCTCTCTTTTTTCATGTCATTTGACATATTTGTTCACGTTTACAAAAAACTCTTTTTTGTATCTTTATTAAAGATTTATTAAATTATTAAATTAAATTTCATTTAATAATGTAATAAAAAGTAATTTAATAAATAAAATTTCATTTATTAAATGAAATTTGAATTCTACTCAATATTATACTTTAAAATTCCTTTCTCATATGCAGATATACACGATAGACATTTCTTTCCTTTTATTGCAAGACATTCGCGAGTTTTACGTATATGATTAATTCATCAAGTAAGTGCACATCTAAGCACACTAGAATTCGCACATCTTGTTGGCTCGCTTGTGAGTTGATCGATGATGGATAAAAATCGAAACGTATGGCTCGTAGAGGGGCAAGGTAAGATCCGGCTTTTTAGTTACAGAGCTATTAGCGATACTAACGAAGGATATCTATAGGCTGATAATTCTCTTCCTTTCTGGTGAGAGAAAGAAAGAGAGCTGTCTGCGTGTCCTCGATTGGCTCACAATTACCATACTGCCCACGCTGATGCAGCAATGTTAACACGCACAGATCGTGCGAGGTGGACAGGCAATCACACAAATATACGTGATCAGAAGGAAATATCACTGAGAGCAATGACCCTTCCGATCGGCGAGACACTGGTCTCATCAGCGATTCATTGAAATCTCTCCGATTGCAATAACAAATTAATTTTGCACACGTCTTGGATTAAAGTTTACGCAGCATCCGAGAGTCATCCACTGTCCTTTATTCCTCTTTATAAATTACGTATTTAGAGAGATTTATCGTTCTCTAATGAAAATCATAAATTTTGTTAAATTAGTGTTCGATTCAAATCATTCGTATAACATGACTTTATCAACTTATCATTTCGCATAATTTACAAACATTCGCTTTATTTCAGCGAGAATTTCGTTTCTTATCATATTTTTCAGCTGGATATATATGCACGCAATTTGCCGCTTCAATGATTCGTGATTTTTTCTTAAATGTCATTTGACATTGCTGCGATAGCAATTTATTATCCTCCAAGCGACTTTAATGCAAACTGGTCTCGCCGCGCGATAACATCTATCTGATAGCTATCCTCGCGATTTTTGTTGCCCGATCATGGCCGGCATTTCTACGTTCTTGAATCAAGCCTCGATTCATTAATAACTATACCGACCATCGGGACGCCCATTACTCTCGATTTAAACGGAGATTACTTTCGAAACGCGGATTAATAGACGGCCGAAACGGACACGGATAAACTGAGCGAGCAGATCGATCTAGAAGCGATCTACTAAGGCAACCGCGGCTTTAATCGATCGATACGATCTAGCGAGGATCGATGAAAGGATTCATTTTTATCGAATTTATTCCCGCGTAATCGGCAATTATGCAAACTTATAATCCGCTTTGCATGAAAACGTCATTTGACAATTTGCAAAATTTGGTTGAAGTTACGATCGACAAAAATATATTTGACAAGAGAGAGGTGAATGTACCAATCACGTAATTGAGTCACAAATATTTAAAAAATGTATAAAAAGTTGAGTGTCAGGAAAAACAATTCATGCAATTACGGGGAGAAATATAAGAATGCAAATTGCAAAATGCAATATATGTATAAGCGTGCCAAAAAATAAAATTCTGACCTTGTTCGCACTCATCAATATCCTCGGAGCAATCAAGTCCTTTATATCCGGTAGCACAGGAACAGGTGAAGGATCCGTTGATAGGGCTCGTATCGCAGATCGCGCCCTCGTGACACGGATTCGACGTGCAAGCGTCGTCGAGATGGCAGAGCAGCCCTAAAAAACAAAAGCGACCGTTTTTCTCTCTATCAATTTCCTTTTTAAATTATTAACAATATAAAAAGTTACAATTTTTATTATATTTCTTTAAAATACAATTTTATCGAGAAGTAATTTTTTCAATAAAAATATTTCCCTGCCTTTGGTGTTGAAAAATATATCTTTGATCAATTTGACAATTTTTTTATAAAATCATAATAAATGGGATAAAAAAATGCATGTGACATATCTTGCAATTGTTACAAATATTTTTACTCTCATTTATTAACGTGATAATAATCATAGATAGTCTATAATATGGAGAACCCGTATGTATCATTCCGATTCCTTCCAATCTATAAATTATACAGATATACAAATTATTACAAAGGTAATTGAGGAAATTGCCCCGGCATCGTAAACTTAGAGAGCGGCGATATAAAATTGAGAAAACTGACCGTGGGATGTAATTTTCCTCAGCTCGCGTGTGTCGAACTTTTCTTTATGAGGCCCAGTAACGGTACCGAAGTCCTCGGGATATTCATATATAAACCAGAGTAAGTGCATGCAGATGCAAGAGCACGCCCGCGACTAACTGTATAAGTATATCTCTACTGGACTGGGAAAAGCACGCCTGGAGGCAACAAGGCGTCTGTACATGTGCGTGTCCGTTAACTTTTCTGCGAAAAAATTCTATCTCTTTATAATCTTTAAAAATAGTAAATCAAACTGCAGAATCTCTGGCACTTATGTACGAATCGAGTGTTGGCATAACTAAAATCCGATAAAGCATCGAATTATTTATTTTGCAAAATTCATGAATAATTTATCGCGCGAAATATCCTCATCTACACAATATATGTACACAATTAAAATTTTTTTTTTGATTTAACATATATCGCATAGCCTGAATAATCTACAGTCTACAAATTTTTGTGTTAATTTAATATAATATGGGTATGTTAAATGGTGACATTTATACTATATTAATATTTCAATACAAAATTGCAAAGTTCATAGCAATTTAAAATTAATTTCATGTAAAATGAATATATTTTTAATGATAAAATTAATTTAGAAAAAAAATTATTGTCCGTCTGCAGTTACTCTCACTTCTATTATAGAATAAAACCAACATTTTTTTTCCTGTAAATTTTAACAGATAAATCCTATCACCAACAATCCGGATATCTATTGTGTAAAATTAAAAATATGTGCACATTGTGTTATTTTTACACTTTTTTCAGTTGTTTTAATAATTTAACATTTGAATTTAATATTTAACACGAAAATTTTAACCAGCATATTTTCTAAGAAAATATAAATTTTCCAACTGTGTATTATGCGTATTGTATGTACGTCTATTGACTGCGATTCGACGGAATTGTCGTCGTGCGATGTAAAACGTACGGCTTCCAGGAACGGACGACGAGATGTCTGGCCGCGCGAGAGAGGAATATACCTGTATTTGGTGATCGTTGCCGCGCGAATCGATCTGAAAACCGTCCTCTATACCCCGACTATCCGCTCTTCGCGCGCGAGTAAGGATAGAGAAACTCGTTTCCAGTCGCCAAGGTCGATACACGGCGAGAAGAAGCCGGCGGCCGAGAGGGTCCCCCGGGAGTCTTCGGAATCTCGAGATTCCGAAGGACCCGTTCTACGCAGTAGAGAGCATCATACCGAGCTCCGCACATGTGCGGATGCACCTGCCGATGTATCCTCGTATCGTTGCAGTTACGAGCCTTGTTCCCCGATCATACTCGGTGTATCGAGTTAATCACCCTACTCGCCCGCGACCTCGCTAAACTAAGCCGGAGAGCGATTCTTTTTATTCTTTAGGAATTTCCGCGTCATATTTTCCAGATGCTATTCCGAATATACGTGTAGGATCTGGATACAGAATTATTTCAAACATTCAAACGTCCAAGTACACTCGGGTATATGTTTAGAGAAGACATGCCTATGATAAGTATGACTACACTTTACACGTCAGCTCTATAATCGGGTTTAATGACATTTATAGTTCTAAAACCGGCCAATTACAACTATTCCTCTGAAGAATGGAATGACCGTGATTGGCCAGCCTTAGAACTACGGATTTTATTAAACCCAATTAGGGTAACAAGAGATTAGGTATAAACGTAGTCTACGCTACAGGAATGGTCTCAAAAGGACAATCCAGGAATTCTGCTATTATCATCTCGTCGCGTATCTCGGATCGATAATAAATTAAATTCGCACTTACCGGTCTTTCCGTAGGTGCACTGGCAATAGAAGCTGCCGACGCGATCGATGCAGGTGGCGCCGTTGAAGCAGGCTGCACCTGCACAATCATCGATGTTGACGCTGCAATCGGGCCCGGTCCAGCCGTTCACGCATATGCACGAGTAACTGCCGTGCGAATTCGTGCACGTCGCCCCGTTGTGACACAAGGACGGCCGTACGGAACACTCATCCACGTCCAGCTCGCATTGCGTGCCCGTGAAGGCCGGCGGACACAGGCAAGAGTACTCGTTCACCCGGTCCATACACGTGGCACCATTTTGACAGAGATTGCCCGGACAATCGTCGATGTTCTCCTCGCAGTGGGCGCCTTGGAAGCCTGAAACACGAAAAGATCGCGATCCATTTTTATTCTCCATCTCTATTCAGAGTAAACATCAGATCTGAATCTTGAAATAAGCATTTTGCGAATAAATAGTAGCCAAAATCGATGTGCCTGAGGTACCATCAGGTAGATACATATGTAAAATGTGAAGAAGAGGTATATATAAGCGCGTAAAATAATTATATTAGAATTAATACGAATTATATATATAAACAGGTAATAAAGATCTTGTCGAAGATAAGGATAATGATAAGAGGCGACGCGCTATTATTTAAATAATTAAACTATCTTCCTTCCGTCGATAAAACAGGATCGCATGGATATATAATCGCGCTCTCAATCGCCGTAATTCGCTTTTATTGCTCGAATGCATTTGCATAAATATGATTCGCGGAGGTAATCGCGGTGCTATTAATAATCGCAAACCGCTCGGGAATATTTTCTAATCTGCGTTTAACGGGAGGGACCGGAATGGTGAAAGAAAGACGATTATCCAAAGGGAACTCATTAGCACAACACGTTCGTCGGCGCGAAAAATCGAGACGCACGGCCGTTATCGGACATTGGTTTTGCCGCATCTATCAAATCTGCGTGTCTCGATCGCCTCGACAGGCAGGCTCGAGTAAAGTAAAAAGAGATCGAGCTCTGACACGCCGAAAGAGGATATGAAGCGATGAGCTTCGATAGCCGTGAAATCGGCACTCCGACTCGCTGGGACGGATTTCTTCCGGTCTTCGTCGAGTCGCGCGAAGAAACGATAAGCAAATAGAGGCGGAATTAGAGACCGTATCTGAGACCGTGTCGCTTTGCACGCCGATTTTTACACCTTCAAACTGCCATTACGCGTAGTTCCGTCGTGAACGCCGTGTCTCGTCGGACATACGAGAAAATGCGAGCGACGAGGAATTTCCGGATTAACAGTCATTGTAAAAAAAAAA